AAAGCAGGGATGGGTCCGGGGAAGGTTTTTTCAGGATGGGGTGATTATAGCTATTTTTAGGGGTTGGGAACGGTGTCAGATGATAGGGAGAGATTGATGGTGTTGGAGAGTAGAGGGGTGAGAGGTAGAGCTGGGAGGTAAAGAGGATGGGATCAAGGGAGCAAGTGGTGTGGAGGAGGAGACAGGTTCGAAGATGTGGAGGGAGGGATGGCGTAGGGGTCGTAGTATAGTGGGGAGATGGGGAGGGAATGGCAGATGGGAGGGCGGAGGCAGCTGAATGGATCCCCTCGATTTTCACGTGCTCGGAGGAGCCAGTTGGTGGTGGAGAATAGGAGCCTGAGGTTGTCCTTCACCTCCAAGATTATCTGGGAGTAGACGGATGATTTGGTGGAGGCGAGGGTGGAGTGGTACATCCTAATTTGGTCCAGCCAGATCTGCCAGTGGACCATTAGATCAGATTTGAGCCAAGTGCCTTCAGAGTCACACACCTGACCCTTGAGGGAGCGGAGGTGGCTGGTTACCAGGGTGAGGTGTCGTGAGTCAGAGGCGGTTTGGGAGGTGAGAGGGGCAAGGGCCACAAGAGTGGTGGAGAGGGAATTGTGGAGGAGAGTGAGCGAGGAAGATAAATCAACATGGGAGATAGGCCAGAGGGGGACCAGTTCAGATGACTCCTTCTGGGTGCTTACATTCAAATCCCTTCCCTCCATAGATGCTGCCTGACCTGCTGAGTGTTCACAGGAAATGAGTGATTCTATGCTAAAAACTGACCCTCTACAGGTTATAACTACCGGCCCATCTCCAACCTCCCTTTTCTTTCCACGGCCCTTGAAAGAGTCGTTGCTTTCCAGCTTTGCTCCTTCCTCTCCTACCATTCCTTTCCCAAGCCCCTCCAATCGGGTTTCTGTGCTGCTCACAGTACAGAAACTGCCCTGGTCAAGGTGACAAATGACATCTTGTCCATTTGTGACCAGAGCTCCCTCTGCCTCCTCGACCTCTCTGCTGCTTTCGATACGTGGACCACTCCATCCTCCTAAACCGCTTCTCCTCTCACCTGAACCTTCAAGGTTCTGTCCTCAAATGGTTCAGGTCTTATCTCTCACACCATCTCCAATTTGTCTCCACCAACTGTTTCTCTTCCAGCCCCCGCACACCATCTTGTGTGGCATTCCTCAGGGCTCTGTCCTTAAACTCCTCCTCTTCAACCTCTACGTGCTCCCCCTGGTGTCATCACCCGCAGATATGGCGTCAACTTCCACATGTTGACTCCTCATTCTCTTTGACATCTCTGCTGCTTTCGACACCGTTGACCACTCTATGCTCATCCACTGCCTCTTCTCTCACCTCAACTTCACGCTCCTATCACTCATTTCCTGTTTCTGTCTATCAGGTAGATTCGAAGGGCCAGACAGGTCAATCACAGTTAATGTAATATTCTTCAATAGGATTCTGTAATAATTACTATGATATTGAACACACTGAATAAATCTGCTCACAGCTTGCATTTATATTGTCAAAATAGGAGAGCGCCCAGAGCACTCTCAAGGAAACAGAATATTTCTGTTGACAGCAACAGTGCTAAACATGCTAAACAACTGCAGAGAAACTTTACTCTGCATGTTCTGGAAATATAATAATCCTTCCATTTTTACAGTGCCTTATCACATCTTCAAGACGTCTGTCTCAAAGTGCTTCACAGGGTATACTGTAAAGTGAATTGACTGCATATTTTGTGGGTGAAACGTGGCAGCCAATTGGGCACAGCAGTGTACCACAAACAGTGGTAGATTAGGTGACCAAATTTTTAAAATTTATTTTGAAGGGATTATTAACCCTGGAAAAGTGATCTGCCAATCGACTAACAATTGGGTTCCTACTTACTGCTCTAAGGCTCTAACCATTGAGCTACAGGATCCCAGGAAATGAGTTCATGAGTGGCTTTTCTGATTATCAGTATTTCTATCCAGTCAATGAAAATCTACAACAAAAAGCATTAAACAGGTTCCTTGCCTAAAGAAATGAAGAATCACAGAATAGCATTATAAAATATTACAGCATAGGAGGAGGCCATTCTGCCCCTCGTGCCTGTGCTGCCTCTTTGGAAGAGCTGCCCAATCAGTCTCAGTCCCCCGCTCTTTCCCCATATCTATATATATTATATATACATAAAGGACTGATACAATCCAAATGAAATGTCCATCTTCAATGTCTGATTATTAGACTATTTACAACAACATCAGTGGATATGGTATTAATAACTATTACAAACAAGCTTATAAAGACAGCAATATTATGAACTGAAATATCAACAAGTGAGTGTATTCCAAATGTGCTGTGAGCCATTCCACAGGAGGAATGAAGTCACAAGGGTATTGAGAGCTGAGGTTTTCTGCACATTTGCTGGATTCCAGCCCTTATATTTCCAGAGGGAAGGGTGGGAAAGAATTTTGTAATTTGAGAAACTTGAAGCAATCCAGGAAGTAGCAGTAAAAACATAGATGAGCTGGAGGGGTAGGTTTGTGAAACCAAAAAAAGGCATTTAGAGAAGCAGTGGGGCTGGAGATGTGACTGTGTACCTCTGCTCGTAAATCAGCAAGTTTCTTGTCCATGCTAGAGCGAGCTCCGAGCTCATCCTCCAGGTCCTCAGATATACGGCCCAATTCATCCTCGTGGACATCCTTCAGGATGTTCAGCTACAACAGAGACTAAACATTAGCAATATAACAATATCAATATAACAATATAGTGTAACAATATCAACATAATCAATATAATATAAACAATATAACAATAATATAGTCAATATAACAATATAACAATATAAAAACATATTTTCATTATAAAACTTATCACATGTATTCTCATATTCTTCGAAAGTGTTTAGATTGATGGTCAATGACATTGAATGATATTGTAAAGTGAAAAGCTCCTGGTTCGGGTCTCACCACTTGTGGCCATAAATATTAAATAGTTACCAATAAACCAAATAGGGAAATCAGAAATCAAAGAAACTTCTTTACCCAGAGAGTGGTGGGAATGTGGAACTTGCTACCATAAGGAGTAGTTAAGGCGAAAACATAGAAGCATTTAAGGGGAATAAATGAGGGAGAAAGGAAGAGAAGTTTATGCTGATCGGCTTAATAATAAATAATAATCCTTGCATTTGATATACAAAAGCACCTTATCATATCATCGAGAAGTCTCCTGGTGCTTCATAGGATATACAGTTGAATGGATTGACTTGTATTTTGTGGGTGAAACAGCCAGTTTGCACACAGCAGCACACATGGAGCGAGTGACCAATTTTTGGGGGGGACTTGTTGGCCAGGACACTGAGAGAAAGAAACTCTTCTCTTTTTGAATAGTGCCATTGGATCTCAGGCAGATGGGACCTCGGATTAACATCTCGTCTGAAGGACGGCACCTCCGACATTGCAGCACTCCCCCAGCACTGATTGGAGTGTCAGCCCAGACCAGGGTGATCCAACTGATGGCTGCTGAGGGCTGGATGCCCTGTTTGAGAAATGATGACCAAAAACACCCCCACACACACTGCCCCCATACCACCCCACAACCCCCACTCTCCCCCCACACACACCCCCCCCACACACTGCCCCCATACCACCCCACAACCACCACTCTCCCCCCACACACACACCCCCACACACTGCCCCATACCACCCCACAACCCCCACTCTCCCCCACACACACCCCCCCCACACACTGCCCCATACCACCCCACAACCCCCACTCTCCCCCCACACACACCCCCCCACACACTGCCCCCATACCACCCCACAACCACCACTCTCCCCCCACACACACCCCCCCCCACACACTGCCCCCATACCACCCCACAACCACCACTCTCCCCCCACACACACCCCCCCCCACACACTGCCCCCATACCACCCCACAACCCCCACTCTCCCCCACACACACACCCCCCCACACACTGCCCCCATACCACCCCACAACCACCACTCTCCCCCCACACACACACACCCCCACACACTGCCCCCATACCACCCCACAACCACCACTCTCCCCCACACACACACCCCCACACACTGCCCCCATACCACCCCACAACCCCCACTCTCCCCCCACCCCCCCCCACACACTGCCCCCATACCACCCCACAACCCCCACTCTCCCCCCACCCCCCCCCCACACACTGCCCCCATACCACCCCACAAACCCCACCCTCCCCCCACACACACACACCCCCACACACTGCCCCCATACCACCCCACAACCCCCACTCTCCCCCCACACACACACACCCCCACACACTGCCCCCATACCACCCCACAACCCCCACTCTCCCCCCACACACACACACCCCCACACACTGACCCCATACCACCCCACAACCCCCACTCTCCCCCCACACACACACCCCCTCACACACTGCCCCCATACCACCCCACAACCCCCACTCTCCCCCCACACACACACACCCCCACACACTGCCCCCATACCACCCCACAACCCCCACCCTCCCCACACACAAATCCCCCCCCCACACACACAAACCCCCCCCCACACACACCCACTGCCCCACCCCCCCCACCCCACGCCCCACACACACCCCCCAACACACTGCCCCCACAACACCCCACACCGCCCCACCTTCCCCCACAAAAAGCCCCTCCCCACACACACACCCAACCCCCCCCACAAACCCCGCACACATCCACACACACACATCCCCACACATACACACGCCCCCCCCCCACACACACACACACCCCACACCCCCACACACCCTCCACCCACACCTCCCCCACACACACACACCCACAAACCCACACACACACCTACATGGACACCCCATACACACCATCCCCCACACACACGCACGCCCACCCCACGCACAAACCCACACACACCCCACACACACCCCACCCACACACACCCACATCTCCCCCACACACACCCACATCTTCCCCACACACACACGCCCCCCACCCACACACACGCCCCACCCCACCTCACCACACACACACAACTCCCCCCACACCGCCCCCCACACACACACCCCCCACCCACACACACACACACGCCACACACGCACCCCCCCCACACACACACACACCGCCTCCTCACATCCCCCCACACACACACACCCACACACACAAACTGCAAAACACGCGCACCCTCCCCTACACACACCCTACCCTGTACACACCCACACACAGCCCCCCCACACACACATCCCCACCCCCCCCACACATACACCCCTCCCCACACATACACCCTCACACACTGCCCCCACACCTCCCCCCACACCCTCCCCCACACACACCCTCACACACACACACCCACACACGCGCCCACACTCCCCCCACGCACACCCCCACACACACACCCACCCATACCGCCCCCCACCCACACACACGCCCCACCCCCCCTCACCACACACACCACTCCCCCCACACCGCCCCCCATACACACACCCCCCACCCACACACACACACCCCCCACACACGCACCCCCCCCACACACACACACACCGCCCCCTCACATCCCCCCACACACACACACACACACACAAACTGCAAAACATGCGCACCCTCCCCTACACACACCCTACCCTGTACACACCCACACACACAACCCCCCCACACACACATCCCCACCCCCCCACACATACACCCCCCCACACATACACACCCACCCCACACATCCCCCCCCCCCCCCCCCACACACACACACACACCCCAGGCACAAACCCACACACACACCTACATGGACACCCCATACACACCATCCCCCACACACACGCACACCCACCCCACGCACAAACCCACACACACACCCCACAGACACACCCCACCCACACACACATCCACACCCTCCACACATCCTACACACACATACCCACACTCCACACATCTCACCTACTCAGACACACCCACGGGTCAGAGAGGTCGGGGGGTGCAAAGGAGTGGAGGGATTTGAAGACAAAGGTGAGGATCTTGGAGTGGATCCTCTCTGGGACAGGAGCCAGTGCAGTCCGGCCAGGACTGGGGGGATCAGGGAGTGGGGTTTGGGGGTGGGGGGAGGGCCAGGACTGGGGGGATCAGGGAGTGGGGTTTGGGGGTGGGGGGAGGGCCAGGACTGGGGGGATCAGGGAGTGGGGTTTGGGGGTGGGGGGGAGGGCCAGGACTGGGGGGATCGGGGAGTGGGGTTTGGGGGTGGGGGGAGGGCCAGGACTGGGGGGATCGGGGAGTGGGGTTTGGGTGTGGGGGGGAGGGCCAGGACTGGGGGGATCGGGGAGTGGGGTTTGGGGGTGGGGGGGAGGGCCAGGACTGGGGGGATCGGGGAGTGGGGTTTGGGGGTGGGGGGAGGGCCAGGACTGGGGGATCGGGGAGTGGGGTTTGGGTGTGGGGGGAGGGCCAGGACTGGGGGGATCGGGGAGTGGGGTTTGGGTGTGGGGGGAGGGCCAGGACTGGGGGGATCGGGAGCGGAGTTTGGTGCGGGTGAGAATGTGGGCGGCAGAGTTCTGAATGGTTTGGATTTTGTGGATGGCAGTGGAGGGGAGACCGGTGAGGAGGGCATTAGAATAGTCCAGTCGGGAGGTGACAAAGGCCTGGACCAGGGTTTCAGCAGCTTTCAGAGAGAGGTATTGGCGGAGACGGGCGATGCGTCGGAGGTGGAAGAAAGTGGTGCTGGTGAGGGACCGGGTGTGTGGGAGGAAAGATAATTGGGGGTCGAACCTGACCCACATACACATTACCCACACCCCACCCACTCACCCCACACCCCACACACACACACATACCCACATATCCCCACCCAACCACACAATCACACATCCCACCCACACCCCATCCACCCATGCAAACACACCCACCCTACCCACACACACAAATACCCACACACAAACTCCACACATACCCACACACACCACACATACCCCACCCACCCACACGCCCCACCCTCACATACCCACACCCCATACACAAACCCCACCCAACCACATACACTCCACCCACCACACCGCTATACATCACCCCCACACATCCACACACCCACACCCCACAACACACCTCAAACACCCCACCCATACACACACCCCACCCACACACATTTTCCTCCCCACACACCCCAACCACACAAACCCTACCCACCCACACACACCCCCACACATACATACACCCCACCTACTCCCACACACCCCACACACACAACAGCCACCCAAACAGCCCACCCACACTCACACACACTCCACACACACAAATCCACATACACCCACAATTCCACATGCCACACCCCAACCACATGCATGAGAAGCCCCACACACACCCCACTCACACACACACACACATTCCCCCTCCCACTCACACACACATTCCCCCCCCCACTCACACACACACACATTCCCCCCCCACTCACACACACACACATTCCCCCCCCACTTGTACACATACAACAACGACGACAGCAACAACTTGGATGTATATAGCGCCCTCCACGTTCGACGGCGTCTGAGAGCCTCACAGTAACGGATCCCAGGACTGAGCCAGGTGGAGGGGGAGGAAGGTGACCAAAGACCTGAAAGTGGGACAGAGGGGGCGAGGAGACGGGATGAGGAAGGGAGTTCCAGAGCCTCGGGGCATAGTGGCTGAAGGCACAGCCACTGAGGGTGGAGCGGAGGACCTGGGGGACGAGGAGGAGGCCAGAC